TCACCCTTCCTTATTTTAATCAGTAGACACATAAACCGAGGGCAAAAACAGTGCTGCAACATTTCTAGGAAGTAGAAGTGAGTGCCATCACAACAAACGTATTATTCCCTGATATCCGGACATCTCGCCTCTGATTGTATAACAGCAACGCAACTCTACCACTGACTTGCAACGCTGATGTGTTTTCTGCATAAATAACACAAGTTTGGAGGAGTTCTGCTGAGTGGTGGAGTTGCTAATGCTAACAGTTAGCTTCTACTAGCTGAGACATGTTCAGCTCTCTCATGGACGCTAAACCAACAACAGACTTCTCCGTCGTGAGTCAAAATGGGTGAGTGCATGAATGTTAAGTGACAGTGTGACGTCTGTGTTTTTAATTCCTGGAGTTTCACATCTATTTTCTATCAGAAGCTAATGCAGGAGACAGGTGTAGGAGACCATTTTCAAGTTTAGACTGCATGAAAAACTCAGAGAGACTTTTGTAGCGTATTACTACATACTAGAATCAACACTGTTTGCTATCAGTTGTTAGATTCTGAGAATGATCAAACACATTAGCATGTGAAGCTTATATCGTGTATAAATATCCAGGACACTTATATAATCGATAGAAGTTCATACACCAACCTGCTTGGTCTATTTTTAATCCAAAGATTAATATTTAATTTAAGATAATTAGATTTAATAGCAAAAGTTTATTTTTTTAAACAGAAGTTAGGAATCTTTGCTTTTTCAACAACCAGAAATATTTATACCTTTCTGTGTTTCATTTCAAAGATGAGGCAGAGTTTAAAAATGAAGAATTTATTACTAACAATTTTAAACTTGACAATTTGAAACGGCAATTTAAATGACAATTAAAAATGACAATTCATGGACGACAATTTACCAGCTTTGATATTAAACTTGGTATCAAAAGCTTTACCTGTGACTGGATGGAAAGCTAAAATGAAATGAGAGCTTGGATGCGTGAATGGATTCTCAAAAGTTTTCTGCCAGAGAGAGGAACTCCTTCTGGGTGAGATGATGGTTTTGCAGCTAACTGTGTTGTTACTTAGAGAGAACAGCATCAAACACAATCTGTGTGCTACCTCACCCATTCAGGCGACCCTCTGTGTGGATCCTGAGGTCAAGGAGGATGTTGTCAGCCTCAGGGTACTCGGTCCGGTAGAGAAGACGTGAGTAGAACCGATCCTCTGGTCCAGAGATGTCGCAGGGTACACAATCGAGCATCTGGCTGAACTCTGAAGGAGTTTTGCATCAGCTGGTTACAGGTGCGTTTATTCGAAGCTATTCTATCGGCGTGACAGAATAGAAGGTGGAGATTCGGGCGGCCGTTCCCTCGTCTCCTCGTATGGTTCAAGAACTGAACTTTTGCTGCTGGAAATTTAGTTTTAACAAACCCCTCAGAACACGCCCACTCTCAGCAAGAAAGCTTTGGTCATGAGTTGTGTGATGGCAGTTTACTTTTACCCTGGATACCCTCTGAATGAGGCTGGTTACGTGCGAGATGACCTTCTGGTTTGCTGAACACACATAACCGATTATCACAATAATCATTATTATACCCAAAGCATAATAAGTTTCAGTAATTAAAATACATTTATACTGAACCAAGTGATTATTTATGATTATAATATACAGTAATAAAGTCAAAGAGTTTATTGCTATTGTTATTTAAAATTATTGTGATCTTGAAGTGTCCTTCTTCTGGGACGGAACAGCAGCAGATAAAGATGATATTCAGCAGACATTATGGCTGCTTGCATGGTTAATCTGCGAGGCAAAGTTACAGTTGACCCAGCTTGACGTAGCTGTGAAAATGTGACCTGTGTCACAAATTAGAGGCCCTTCGTGACGCTACACTTTTTACAATCATAAATAAGAATTAAAATATGCTTTCTAAGAGTTCCACGCCTTTGTTTAAAATGAGGTCATGTTCTGATGGAAAGTGATGGAATTAAGAACAAGTGAATTTAAAAACTAACTGTGGATTTTGTCACGAGGAGCTAAATGTGATTAAAGGATGCAAAACATTTATTACAGACAATAAAATATAATTGAAAGTAGGAAAGTTGTCATTTATAAACATTTGTGCAATTCCACTGATGGCCGCAAAGGCTTTAATAACATTTCAGGCACTAAAAAGCTTCCGATAAAACAAATTATTCTGGATTTCCCCAAATCATGACCGCTATTTTTTCTTTCTGATAAATTAGTTATGAACATATGAAAAAGGGGAAAATTTTTCACAAAGCAACAGGAACGCAGTATGGACACAAACTTGTGTTGTTGGAATTGTGGTAAGAAGATCTAAACTTGAGTTAGAAACATGAGAAACATGCTGATGAAGAACGTTATCAAGGTAAACAGGAAAATCTATGCAGGCAAATTTAGATTTTCTCATAAACTAAGAATCTATTTACTTTGTCTTACTTTTATAAATATTTGGTCAGATCTTGTTCAGAAACATAAAAAGCGAAGTGTTTTCACATCGACATGCTTTGACTCCAGCTGCTGTCTACCTGTCACACCTGTGGGTTGACCACGCCCACTTCTGTCATACCCCCCCCCCCCCCCCCGTGTCCTGTCTGGCTGTGAAGCAAACAGAGTTGATGTCTGAATGCTGGTGACAAGCCTTACAGATTTACTCTCAGGTGGAGCATCAAAGTGTCTGCTTTTAATGTCACGCCTGATACTTAAAACTTTATTGTTATTGTTGTTGAATGCTTTGTAATTCCGACCAGACACGGAGACAGAGGTGAAAGAAAAAGGAAGAGACTAAAGGTGGTGGTGGTGGTGGGGGTTCCACAAAAATAAACAATAATGAACAAGAGTCTGCTTCTAGACCTGCAGAAAGAGAGAAGAAAAAAAAAAACAAAAAACAAAAAAATGGGACACACAACAATACAACAAGATCAAGCTATCACTGCGTCAACTTAATGGTGAAATATAAAATCAACATTGTTTAACTGAACAATCACACAATAATAAATCACAGTGCATTTTGTGCCAACCACAGCCTTAAGACATGTGTTGAACGTGCCCATGTCCATACTTTTGAGAGCACCATGTGAGCACCTGTGTGTGTACACGCGCTTGTTTATGTAAGGTTTCTCTATAGGAGCGTCCAACAGAGAGTGTGAAGGACCACAGATCCGCCCCCCAAAGATGTGTAGGAGACGGGAAAAGCTCCAAGTCCCAGGGATCCAGGAGCTGCCCCAGAGCACAGGAACTCCAGGGAGACTGCAACCAGAAAGGCCCCCGCCCCCCTCGAGAGGTGCAGAGGATCACCCCGGGGGGCCACAACCAGCAGCCAACAGAGTCCCGGGAGACATCGGCGGCAAGCCCACAGGACCGCCCGCAGCCTCCCTCCCCCTAGCTGGCCGAGCCTGTCATACGGTCTCTAAAGTAGGGAGCCTTTTCATCAAGTTATCCAATCCTGGTCCTAGAGAGCTGGTATCCAGCATATTTTAGTTGTTTCCCTGCTCCAACACACCTGATTTTTATCAGACAATCTAGATTAACAGGCTCCTGCAGAGCTTGATGACAACAAGTGTGTTGTAGTAGAGAAACAAGTAAAACACGCTGGATACCAGCTCTCTAGGTCCAGGACTGGACACACCTGATCATCCACCTGGGCCTCCATCCTCCAGAGACTATCTGACTGGGGTGGGCGTGGCTAAACTGTCAGGCCTTACGGGTCAGATAAAGGAGATGAATAGCCTAGTAAACTAGACCAAATTTTTGCTTTGCAAAGTAAAAAAAATTAAATAATATATTTTAGTCTGGCCTGCCAGGCTAGGAGATGAAGGCACCAACACCAGCTGACAGTCAAAACACGCCTAGGTAAAAAAAAAAAAACATCTTTTATGTCTGAACAAAATATTCTGACTATTGTGACTTTTCTGTTCTATTCAGGATTTCCTTACAGATAAATTGTTTAAAATTAAAATTTCTTTATGTTGTAGATCCTGTAACAGGCTCACCAGCAGTTTCCTTTTCCCATGTTCTAATCCTGTTGATATTTTCAATTGTTGGACATTTAAAAGTGGAGAATAAATCAGTTCAGGTAGTTGGAGCCTTGCCAGTATTCCTTGCAGCAGGAAGACTTTGTTCATGTGTAGGAGCTGCAGCACACACACACACACACACACGCACGCACGCACGCACGCACGCACACACACACACACACGCACACACCTGAGGGTATTTCTACATCTCCACACAAGGCAGATTCAGTTTTAACGTTTAACAAAACATTCTCAAGCATTAATCTGAACTCTGATGATTTCATTTCCAAACTCAAACACAAATAAGGATTAAATCTGAACCCATGGCTGCCACTTTGACAGATCATTCATCCAAGTCACCACCCGTTCACCCAGCTCCTTCCAGGCTTCATCAGCCCCAGATGTCAAATTTTCACCGCCTGGTTACAGAAGACTTGCGTGAGAACGGCTCACAGGCAGATTACTTGTGAGCAGCAGTTTGGGAAGTGTGAGGTGGGAGTTGAAAGGTTCAGAAACAACAGGATGCTAATTACTGCTCTGTGGCTGCCAGGCAACACGATCAGCTAGTGTTTATGGAGCAGAACCCTCAAAGACCACTAGCATTCAGGAGAGAGAATTCAAAAATATTCAGGACCAGGTCTTCACCGCAGGAAGAGTTTACAGCAAATATCCAGAATCAGGTGTTTCAGCGGATTTATGAAGTTGTAAAAGTATTTTCAGCTGTTTGTTAGTTTAAAAATGTACAGACAGACAGACTTAACCCGCAGACATGCATCCACCCAGACAGACACAGACAGACAGACAGACAGACACAGACACACACACACACACACACACACACACACACACACACACACATTACTGCATGCATAGATTTAACTGTAACATGGGCATTGTTTAATTTAGCTTAATGGGAACAATGAAGCTGCCATTAGCTTATTCAGCTGGAAATGATCATAACTCCGAAATAACATTTAGTGGCAAAAATAGTTTTCTCAAGTTTTATTTAATCCTTCAAATCATGAACATTTCACACCAGCATAAACCAAAGTATTTAGTTAAAACTACACAAAAAGTTAATTAATACACAAAAAACTTCCCATTGAAGAAGCTGAATTGTATTTCAGTTGGAGAAAATAGCCACACATCATCTTTTCTCCTTTTTCTCAGAAATTATTTTATGGTTTGGTCGATCTGAAGCTCGTTTTCCAGTTTATAAATTAAATTTGCTACTAAATCAAATATGGATTTGCACATTGTGTAAGCAGAGATTAAATAAACTACAATAACCCTGAATGTGAGGAATGTGCAGGTTTTCTCAGACAAGGGCACAACCATCATCTCTAACATTTAGACAAACTCTTGAGCTTAGTGCAGCTTTGTGTTAAATTTAAATAACTTCAGTAGAAAAGAAAGAACAGACTTAAATAATAACTAAAACATAAAGTGCATAGTAGCAAATACCAATGGTGCATGCGACAACGGGAAATGACTGAAACTGGAACAGGAAAATATAAAAGTCGTACAAAAACGTGTAGAAAAAGTGTCATTAACATTAAACACGTCTGATACATGAGGTCAGTTCAACTCTGAGTTCATTACTAGGCTTAAATATTAGAGTCCATGTGAGCAGCAACAGATCGGGCCAGAACTACATGTGGAACATTACATTAAGACTAACAGAACAGAACAAGTTGATTCTAAAAGCAAAGGAAAGACGGGCCCCATTTCAGTCATGACGGCTGCCCGCCTTCTGTCTGAGCCGCAGACGCAGCTTTACTGAACAGCTGAGGTGGAGTCACAGCTCGAGTCCAACCCTGAGGAGAAGTGAGGAACGTTCTAGGAACAAAATGAAGAGGGAGCTCAGGTCAGTGGAAAACAGACAGAAATCATTTATTTTATTATATTTCAGTTTGGGTCCAGCAGAACTACACTCAGATGATTAACTGTATAAGAGATTAACAGAAATGTTAAAGCTGTCAACAGTGACTCATTGGGGTCACTATGGTAAGGCATCTGAAAGAAAAGCATCAACCGTCCAGCAGGGGGAGGAAGAATAAAACACCAAGTTGTGGAAGTTAAATAGTGACATCATCGTCATGAGCGCTCAGCGTAAAAAACAGAAAATCTAGAACGATCTTACCTAAATTGGGATTGTGTAAAAACCACGAAAGAAGACAAACCACCAGTTCGGTCACGAAAAGTCTAACTTTCTGTGAACTGTTTAAACTCTAAATGTTTCTACTGTGACTCTCTAGCCCCGCCCCCTTTTGGAGCTACAGCGCTCCAAAAGGGGGCGGGGCTCTCTTGCCTGTTTTACAGTGTTGTCTAGAATAGATGTTATGATTTTTGAGAGAAGGAAAACTGAGCCAATATAAACAACCAATGGTTATTTTTATCTTGTTGTGGTTTGTGGTGAAAGGGGCCTCCCTGCTTGACACTCAGCTTTAAGGGGTTGGATTGTTCCTGAGCACAACCGCTGCTGCAGCTCACCGCTCCCCATGGGGATGGATCAGTGGCAGAATGTAATTTCACCAGTGTGTGATGATGACTATGGGACTTTAAAGTGGGTTGGTGTGTTAATAACAAACAAGAGTGGATGTCCCACCATGGTCATGCTGAGGTCACTAGAGCCCTGCACTGAAGCCCTAGGCCCTCGGGTCGGCCCGGCCCGAGGGCCGTCGGGCCGGGCTTCGGGCCAACGACTGTGCAATTACCTCCGACACGGGCCGGGCCGGGCGCCTTTATTTTTAATCGAAATCATTTAAAAAAATTAAAACACTTAAACGCAGCAGTAGAGCCCTGCGTGGGACTGTTTTCTTCATCCCGCTCTGCTCCCGCTGAATTTCTGACCATTACAGCCTGCAACTGCAACGTGTGTGTTACACTCCCGCCCGCACCTGCAGCGTACATGTCTACTCCCGCCCGCAACCGCAAAACTCGGAGAAATTATTACCTCACAATAAAAGAGATGTATTGAGTTTGCGTCCTCAACATGTCATTTTATAGGTTATCCGCTTTCACCGCAGCGCTGCGCTCCGTTTCAATCAGGCTGTACAGCAGGATTTCCCCTCGTAGCAATATTTTCTCTAACTCTGATTGCTTCATGCTATAGATCGTTGGAAAGCTGCTTTTATGTACTTTTAGGAACCGTTGGAATTATTTGAATCTGATCAGCCATTCAAAAGTTAAAAAACGGAGCATTTTGGATGACAAACTCAGCACGTCTCTGAATCTGTGTTGTGATTCGTTGCGCTCAAGACAGGGAATCCCGGTGGCTACCGTAATGTATTGTATATGCACGAAAAGCCCCATTTTTAATCTTTTCAGCACTTTTGGAATTTTAATGATATCTTGAACTAGAGCAGGGATCGGCAACCCGCGGCTCTTCCATCCATCTGATGCGGCTCTCTGTGCTTGTAAAATAACGAATGGATATTTAAATAAAATGCTTTATATTTTACTGCATTAATTTTATATCTGTAAGTCAATTCTACGTGAAGATTGTCTGCGTAAACCTGAACAGTTCCAACCCAGTCTTATTGTGAGTCCGGGTTGGGTCACGCTTGTGCGTAATCATATGCGCTTCCTGAGCTGAAGAGGATGTGAGATTCTGGGCTTCTCCTCAGACGGCTCCTGGATGTGTCGCACATTGGAGACAGGAACAAGCGCTATTCAGCCAAAGTTTCATAATCAGGGAACATTTTCTAAGTGACAAGCCTCTCTGAGCGACAGGGTTTGGAAAACACTCGCTTCAGTGGAAGCTTCCCGCATGCGCTTCTGCGACGCTCGGATCCTGCACGTCTTTTAACACATTGGTCAGGATTGACGCACTTTGTTTTCATTTAGTTGGTTAAAAAAAAAGTCGGGCTTGGGCTCGGGCCGGGCCAGAGAATCCTGAAAACCTTTTCGGGCCGGGTCGGACGCGGGCTCAGATTTTAGGCCCGTGCAGGGCTCTAGAGGTCACAGGTCAACCTTCAAAAGCAAGATTTCCATCCCTGATTTAGCGGGTAAACAGGCCATAACAGAAAGATAAGGAAACATCTGAACACTTGGTTTGACAAGGAGGAAGGGATACAGCAGCACAGCTTAGGCTGGTAAAGTTTCATCTGAACAGTGAAGAGGATTGAGATAATTTCTCAGGACCAAAGCTGATGCTGCCCCCAAATGGATGTATGAGGAACTGCAAGCACCAGGCTCCTGAGAATCTGCGAGCATCATGAAGAAGAAACAACAACCTCAACAATCCCTGGAGAAGCAGCAACTACATTCTGAGATCCAGAGGATTTTCATCACACCCTAATTTTATTATTATGGTTTAATGATTATTTAAAACAGAATAGTGATAATTTTGTTATTTTCAGAAAATAATCTGTCTAAACCAATTTTAAAGGAATAAACAAACCTCTGTGGCCCCCACGTGTCTTCTGTGTCATCTCTTGTCTTGTCTGGTTGTAGATGTGAAGGTTTTATTCTAGCAGATCAAAGAAAAAACATCAGAAAGGAACAAACATCCTAAAATAAAAATCTCTCAGAACAACAACCCGTTGGTCATCCATGACCAGGTATTTAAAGGTGAACATAAATGATGTATTAACTGTAAGAGACGCGGTTGCTCCTGGCTTCTGTGTTCAGCTCTCTAAAGCTCAGACAAATGCAGACCGCAGGAGTCTGCAGACACTAAAGTAAAGCTGCTGCAGTAACAACGGTCCAGGGAAGAAGAAATGACACGTTGCAACTACAGTTTGCTAATCAGACTCAAATGTAATTAGACTTCTTATTTAGAAAATATATATATAAACTGTACAAAAATTGTTTATTCATCTTAAATCTGAATCATAGAAGTCCTAAAAAGGTCTTAAATGTGACTGAAACCTGCAGAAGCTCATAGGTCCATCCTAATAATAAAAGTATCATCAGAGTTTGATTTAACAGCATAAACTGGATAATTGTGCATGAAAAGACCACCAAACGTGGCTTAATGGTAGATCCTGATGCCATGAAACACCAGGAGCTAGTTATCAGTGACCTATTTAACTGCACACCTTCTAAATGATGTTTGGTACATCTGGTCTCTGGTTAAAAACCCAGTACTCTGAAACGGTTTACTTCTATAGAGACTGATTATTTACATTTAACCGATTTCCTGTTTGATTACAGTTTGTGAACTGGGAGCGTCTACTGTTGTGTGTTTACTTTGTGTTCGGGACATCTCATGGAGAAGTTGTCTTCGTTGAGGACACAACCTGAAAAACACAAACATGTGAGTCAACCTCGTCTTTAAAGCAGAAATCCAGAGCTTAATCTAAGACGACACCATCCAGAGGCAGGAAAGTGCATTGCACATTAAGCCCCTCTCCCTACTTCCACGATTACAGCAGGAGGAAATGCCTCTCGATTGTGAACGCCAGCCAAAAGAGGTAAAACACATTGTTTTACAGTCATTGTTCTCATGTTACACGGTTTATTCCCATCTAGAAATCTGTCTAGGGTCTTCCGCAAACGCTCTGTGATTGACATTTGTACGTAAGTAGATGTCTAACCCTATTGGCTAACGGTACCGAATGACCAATGAGCAGACAGGATGCTTCTCAGTACATCTCCAGTCAAACATGAAGAAAAAGTTAATACTTGCCACTAGGGGTGCAACAATACATGTACCCGTATTGAACCGTTCAATACGGAGCTTTCGGTTCGGTACGCATATGTACCGAACAATACCGTATTTTTTTTAATTTATTTTTATCAATTTTTCTTCTGACGATGAGATCCAGTGGATCTGGGTGATCTGCGTTTGACTACTCCGCCTGAGGTCGCATTGTCGAGCGCAGATCCACTTAGCGCCGCCCACATGCTTGATAGCGAGACATGAGAAGTTGGCTAATTGCAAGTCATGGCAGCTGCCTCAGCGGTCCCAGAGGTTGAACGTCCTCCTCCGTCTTTCAGATCTGGAGTTTGGAACTTTTTTGGCTTTCATGTGAAGCGTGACCCTGATGGTAAGCGCGTCACAGACAAAACTACCACAGTATGTCGGAGATGCCACACAATGCTTAATTACGTCAGCGGGAACACAACAAATATGACTGTACATTTACGCCGACATCACCCTGATGCACAGACAAGTGGAGGCAGGAACAAACATCAACAACCAAGCATGCAACAAGCTCTTCCCGAGTCATTTAGACAGCCGTTTACACGTGATCCCAAGAGGGCAAAAGAAATAGACAGGGCGATAGCTACTTTTATTGCTGTCGACATGCGAACGTTTTCTGTAGTAGACAACACCGGGTTTCGGGAGCTGCTGAGAGTACTTGAGCCCCGTTACAATCTTCCTTCACGAACCTATTTCACCGAGACCGCAGTTCCTGCTTTGTACAATGAGACGAAAGCCAAATTAGAGACGGCAGTGTCAGCAGCACCCGCTGTTGCTCTGACCTCAGACGGCTGGACGTCAAGAGCTACACACAGCTTCCTGGCCGTCACCGCACATTATATTGATCCAGAATGGCAAATGAAAAGCAGTGTTCTGCAGACGCGCCTCATCGAAAGTCACGCCACAAACGACTTGGCCAAAGCTCTGTCAGAAGCAGTGGAAGACTGGAAGTTAGTGCGAGCAAAAGGTACTATACCTGTAACTAGTGACAACGCCAGGAACTAGTTCATGCTGTCACAGCTGCTGGGCTGGGGCCACAAATTGGATGCTTTGCGCGTACTTATTTTTGTTGTATGTGCAGCTAAGTGCCAGCACTCCAGAAGATGAGTGTGAGGGGGAGTTCCATAAAAGATTAGTTCATTTTATAGGGACCCTATTTGTTTAATTGCTGCTGAGAATATAGCCCAGAGGATGGCTATAGTATAGCTATTATTTTGGAAAAAAGCTACTTTGGTTTTCCACAGATTATTTTCTTAGTTACGTAAGTTTGCTATTGTAGCAACATTTAATTAACAAAATTGTACTTGAGTTAAAAAAAATATTTGTAATAAATTTCAATGAATGACAAATTAAAAAAAGGCATGAATACAATTTTTTTTGTATCGAAAAAATATCGAACCGTGACACCAACGTATCGAACCGAACCGAACCGTCCAATTACTGTATGGCTGCACCCCTACTCGCCACGTCTGACTGCACTGAGCTTTAAACAGTTCTACAGAACTTAGAGATCACAAATAGGCAGCATCATGGAAAATGTCCGCTGAGTTGGTTGTTGGTGTGGTCTCAAATTCACCAATTCATTTCCTGTTTGTCATATGGGATGAACCCATTCACGTAATTTTTGTTTTTATATAGTAAAGTCAGAAGTAAGACTTCACTTAGCAAAACCTTGTGAGACTTCATGTCTGCTGCTTTTTCACTTCTGAACTGTTTTATTAACCCAACAATCTGACGGCCAATCGGAACAACAGAAGACTCGCTACTCGCCCTGGAACAGAGCGCGTCGCCGGCCGCTGCCGCATGTCGCTTCCCACGTCAGGTTATCAAAGCGACAGCGAAAAGTTTGCTGATCGCAGTCGTTTGTCGCCTCCCGTGTGTGGAGCCCATAATGCTGAGCGGTGCTCATTTCAAATAGCATGGGGCTCTACTGGATGAGGGATGGGCTCATAGGATAAATGTGTCGTTGTGTTGCCTACATTACAGAGCAGGGTCAGACTGTCACTTTTACAAATTTCTAAAAAAAAAATCATACAGACTGCAGCTTTCATCTGATCTACCACCTTCTCTCAGATCCAGAAACAAACATTTGTTCATGCAAATCAAAATATTTTCACTTTTTACATTTTTAAAACAGATAAAACTTAAAACTGCTGAAAAAATGAACAGCTAGCAGAAACATTAAACAAAACTATTTATTATGAGAGGACTTGCCTGACTGAATGGCACAGGTGAAGTGATAATTTCTGGAGCAGCCCTTCTGGAAACATCCCATAATTGCTCCCGCTTGATGGCAGGTCGAACAAATCTAGAAAACATCATTTGTATCATTTCTGAGCTCAAACTGAGAAAATGAGATTTCTGAGGTCAGATGGTCTGAAGGCTGACTCATGCCGAGTATCAGCTGATTGTTTCGGTTCATCGATGGTAAAGCAGAAGTACAGCAACCAGATCAGAAGCCTGTTTATTATTGTATATATATAGCACAAGAACCCACTAGTGCAGCAGCTTATAAACATCATAACATGTTTATTTCATATCTTTGACTGGGCCAATCAGCTGATGTTGAGCTCTGAGGCATCCATCACATCATCACCAGTAAGTCTGGGAAATGTAAACAGTCATCAGAACTTGTTTAAACATGAAGATGATTAACATCGGGGTGTTTAACTGTAGAATCGAGCAAACAGCTGCTGTCACTCACTCACCGTCTCCTGAGCGAGCCGAGCTGCCTCCTCCAAACCGTACAGCTTCCCTCGGACCAGGAAGACCCCCGCAGACCAGATCCCACAGTCCTCGTGGATCCAGCGCTCATCCAGAAAAACAGGCACCTTAGCGGTAGACACGCCGTCAGCTCTGAGCAGACCTTTGTCAGCATTGCAGTCGTCTCCTGAGGAATTTGGCAAATGGCCATTAGGAAGTTTGTGTACCTCGTTCTTTTGCTCGGTCCTGCAGGTGAAACTGTCACCCAGTGGGCCGCTGGGAAAGTACGGCCCATGAAGGTCTCCCAAACCCATGGTGTTGGCTGTCTGCCCACAAAGGCAGCACATCAGCTCAGCCTGCTGCTGGCCGTCTGGGCTGGGCCGACCCAGATGGAAGCAAGATGTGGAGGGGATGAACCCAGGGATGGTCCCAGGGGCTTTCTGCTGCCCCCTGCTGCTCCGAACCGTGGCCTCCTCCTCCTCCTGACAGTTCACCACCCGGCACACCCGCTGCTCAACGTGAACAAATGGGCAGAAAGCTTCTGGCTTCCTCTCTTTTCTTTGCTCTTTAGCATTTAAATATTTTAGTAACATTTCTGGTTCTCTGGATGGGAACAGATCAGGAGGTCCAGAGTGTTGGACCTTCCTCCGTCTTCGTCGAGCCTTTCTCTTCCCTGCTGAGCTCTTGGAGGCCAAGGTCACCTGCTGCTGCGTGGTTCGGTGGGCTTGGTTCTGCTGGGTTTTACTCAACCTTTTCATTTTGGGACCAGTGAGCTGCTTCAGGTGTTTGCGATTAACAGTCTTTGAGTATGATGCTTTGCAGTGAGGCTGTTCATCTTTAGGAGGAGACTTCCTGTCTGTCTGGACGTCCGCATCGGACTCCTCTGACGGGCTGCTCGCTCTCTGTGTTAGCGCTGGCTGTGAGACCGAGTCTTCTGAGCTGGAGAACTTCACTGCTAGCTCCATCAGGTTGTCAGAGTCACAGTTCTCATTGTAAATGCCCACAGCATCGTTTTTGACCCGTCTCTTCAGGCTGTGCCGTAGCGAGCTGCTGGACAACTGAGGGGACTCTGAGACGGACTTCCTGATCCTGGCGCTGTGTCTTCTCTCTCTGGGTCGAGACGTCTTACTCTCGCTCTGAGGAGGACTCTCCTTACAGCAGAGTTTTGTCTTCTTGTTGTCGGTGACGGAAATTTCGATCACGTCACTGTCTTCACTTGAAACGTCCACATCGGATTCTGTGGGGTTTCTGTACACAGCCCTGAGATCCGATAGAAGGACTATGGGCCTGTTGTGATGCACGGGAACGTCCACTGAGCTGTCCGAGGATTCCTCGGAGTACGAAGTGTCGGGACTAGGAGAGCTCATGGGCTGAGGTAGGAAATAGCACCCTTGCCCTTCATCTGGCGAGGACGTGGTGGGGGACAGGGGCTCAACAATGTGCCCTACACCATCCTGGATGAAAGAACCACACAAGAGTGGCTCCTTGGTCGAGGAAACCAGAAAGATGACATCAGAACCGCTGTCGCTCTCCTCTCCACCGCTACTTTCAGGAACCGGGCCACTGCTTTGGTCTGTTCCGTAGAATCCGGCGTGCCACAGGCTGCTGTGAACCTGGTCGTGAAACAGATCCAGCCCCGATGCGAGGTTTGAATTCATGTAGGACCCCAAAGACTCAGGGCCCTGCTGGATGGGTGCCCCAGAAGAGCTGTAGGACCCCGAGACTCTGGACCTAAATGTAGAGGTTCCGTCTGCGCTGTGGTGGTACCACTCCGGCTTCTTGGCCAGGTCCATGGCCTCGGCATGGTTGCAGGTCCGGGGGTTGTAGCTCTTTGACAGGTCCATGGCCACAAGAGGTGGGTCCTGGGAGGACACTTCCATCCCTGCAGAGACAAACAAACTGTCAGA